TTGAATATGTTTAGCTGATTGGTTGGCTTGGCATTTTTTTTGTGTGGTGGATGTTTTCCAGCAGGGAAGGTCAACAATTAGTTTGTCCAACGCACCTGCTGAGTGGACTGGTCGCGATGACAATGCTTTGGGCCTTGTCAGTGCAATGCAGCATAGGCCATGTTTAAAACGCTGTTGCCCGCTGACCCTGTTAGTTAAGGACACGCTTTCTGTGGGCTGACAACGTTTCGGGGGAACCCACCAAAACACACACAAAAAAAAAAAAACGGGCGCAGGGCGTAGAAGCGCTAGGGCCCCTGCCGGTGAAATGTCCCGCTGCATGATGTAAGCCTGCAAGGAATCACACGCGCGCGGGTGTTTGGACGCGCGGGAACCGCATGCGCTAAACTTGCACATGCCGTGACATGCCAGTTTGTTCCTTGCCATCAACTACCAGGTTTGGGAAGCAACCATTCATTTTGACACCAATGGAATTCACAGTTGAATTGTGCCAACCTCATATGTTGGGTGGCTAGTCAAAATTTGGAATCTCCTTCTCACATTGGCTCTGCAAGGCGTTTTTGAACGCAGAGGTTGCAAAGTCAAGACTTGTACAATGGACCAAGGCGCTGCTGAAGCAAGGCAAAACGGTCGCCTTTATGTCAGTGGCTAAGCTAAACTGCGCAACATTTGCAATTCCAAGACCTGAAATAAGGGATTCCCAAGTGCATGACCTACATCATGGGTGTGTGCTCGCTTTACCCGCGGATTGGCGGAAAGGCTCGCCATAAGCGGGGATTCTTCAAGCATACAACTGCTTCACAGGAAAATTGCTCCGAATCAGCTGCTAAAGTTGTGTCTTTTTGACTTGCCCACATTCGGGGTAACTATGCAGAAATCCCATGTTTAATCAGATGCCATTTCCTAGTATTTAGCCTCCCCCAAAATAAAGACCATCCTTTTGGGAAGAAAACTCGGTCAAATACCGCGCAGAAAATTCACCCGAAATTTCCGTGATACCAACATGGGCCGTTCACATGACGGCTCCACCCCAAAACCCACCATTTGTAGGATCGGAACCCCCTTTTGGGGTGCCTTCCGCAAACTCGTAGCGGACAAGTGCTTTTCACTTGGAAGGAATCCCCTTGGTATCACAGCAAGTGATAACCCCCCCCTTTTTCACAATGCGCAAAAAAAGCGCGATGCACGTGCCTCTCGCATCAGCGGCTCGGGCATTTCAATGCCCCACCTCGAGAAATGCATTTCTCGTATGCAAGGGGATGGGAGTTTCTCTTTTTAGGAAGCCCCCAACATGAATTTCGGTGCACCCACGTGTGTCTGTATGTATGTTAAACTGTTAGCATTCAATCCCGAAACAAAACTAGGTAAAGGAATACATGTTGTACCCAAACAAAAAGTGAAGTTTGAGTTTCGGCCAGTCACCATGGTCTTATCGAGTCTAAGTGGGCCCTACCTCAAGTACCCTCACTTGGTGGTTTAGATTAGTGGTTTGGGGATTTGAAACCGCGGCTTTTGTAGAGGGTAAATCAAAACCACCAAGTAGAGGGAAGCTGAACACCTGCCGTTTACACACGTTTCCCGGTCTTCCTCACGGCCTGTCGCGTCTGGACATGCCCTCCTCCCTGGAAGGCGGAAGGCGGGCCCCTTTCCACGGTTTGTCGAAGGGCGGCTCGAGCCACGGGCCATCGATCTTGGTGTCCAAATCACCTTTTTGTTGCAGCCTTTTGGATGTGCCCTTCGATAGGCTTTTTGATTGCAATTTGTTGGATGTGCCTTTTGGGATGCAACTGTCGTGCAAACGTCTAGGCCCACGCTGGATGCTGGCTAAAGGCTTCCGCAACACAGCATGAGGGCTCTGATTCAGATGCCAGAGGGGATTTCACCAAAATGCGACGTACTAAATAACTTGGCGTGAGATTGATAAGACACAGAGGGCTTTGTTCAAACTGTCCAACGCAAATAACTCGTCCTTAGTCAAGAACCAGGTCATGTTTTCTCGCAGGAATAAGCCAACCATGTCATTTCCCTAAACCACGAGGACACATGTAGACTCACCTTCCACAAACGGGTGCGTCTGAAAATTAAGGAACCCCCGAAAAGGTTGGTTTCCTTTGGGTTTCCTTTAAAGCCAACCCAACATGGGTACCCTCAACAAAAGACACGCCAAAATGCAAGGTTTTGATTGAGCCAAAAGGAACCTTCACTTGCCGCAGGAGCAGCCTCCCCCGTTAAACACCCACGATTCCCTCAAAAAGCGCCGGCCGCAGCACGCGTTTCAAAAACAACAAAGAACGCCCTGGAAAATCGGGGGGCATCGATTTGCAGAGGGGCAGGGGTTGTGATGATGCGCAACCTCTAAAAACGTGCCCCCCCCCCCCTCCATGCATCAATGCCCTTGCATCCGCACATGTGGAAGGATCCCATTCTCGGGGGTTGGGCAGCTGAACAAAAGGAATAAGCCACCATATTTTGTCTTCTTGAGCTGCCTGCCACGAAGCTTTAACCTTGGAGGTCTTGGCCAAAAGGACGAAGAAATGTCAACAACCAAGTTGGAAGCTTGCCAACCCAACCTCACTTGCCCAAAGCACCCAAACACAAAAGGTGATCACCTTTTGGGGTCATGCCCAAAAACTGGCTTTGGGCAAGTGAGCAACATGTGGAACCTGACAGGGGGGTTCTGGAAGACACCTTTCCTTTCAAAAGGGAACTGCCCTGTAAGCAAACCAAGCGCGCCATGTCATTTAGATCATTTGAGAGCTCCCGGCCCCAGATCCGCCGATCAAAACCCGTTCAACCGACGGTGCCGCCAGGCCGCACATCTGGCTTATAGGAGTCCTGGCACAAATATATCTTGGAACCCCGCAGGCGCAGAGCCCTGGAGAAAAAGTACTGTGGATGGACAAAATCAATTTCGCACCACTTGGAAATCATGGGAAACCATTGTTTGTTGGTATTTACAGGGGAATCGAATCATTCCATGGCTTCTTAGGTGGTGCAGGATTTCGTCCATCCACAGTATGTGCCCTTTCTGCCGCGCTTGTACGTCTTGCCCGCTTTGCACCAAAAGCTTTTGCTCCGGGCCATACTGAGTAAACCTGAAAATGTCATATGAAAGTCAGCCTAGGCCCATATGTTTCCATGTGCCTGACCATACCTGCACGTACATACGTGTGTATATTTGCCACAGGTGTAAGAGTGTATGTGTGTATGTGTGAGTGTGTGTGTGTGTGTGCGCGCGTGTGCGCGTGCGCGCGTGCGCGTGCGCGTGCGCGTGTGCGCGTGCGCGTGCGTGCGCGTGTGCGTCTGCGTCGTCTGCGTCGGCGTCGGCGTCGGCGTCGGCGTCGGCGTCGGCGTCGGCGTCGGCGTCTGCGTGTGCGTGTGCGTGTGCGTGTGCGTGTGCGTGTGCGTGTGCGTGTGCGTGTGCGTGTGGGTGTGGGTGTGGGTGTGGGTGTGGGTGTGGGTGGGTGTGTGTGTGTGTGGGTGCGTGCGTGCGTGCGTGCGTGCGTGCGTGCGTGCGTGTGTGTGCATGTTTGCGTGTATGTGTGCTTGTGTGTGTGTGTGCGTGCGTGCGTGATTGCATGTTTGTGCTGGCGGGTCAGAAACTGTGGGTGCAACACCCACGTTTTGGACTCTTCGCGAACAAGTGGTCCCGTCACCCGTGCCCAAGTGATCCCGTCCAACACATGGTCAGCACCCAACACACAGTCAGCACTCCCGCCCAAGTGATATCGTCTCAACACATGGACGGCCCCGCCCAAGTCATCCCGTCCAACACAAGGTTCGCACCCCCGCCCAAGTGAGCCCGGTCCAGCACATGTCTTGATCATGGCATGCCTGGCATTACTGGCATGATGATCTTTCGCGAGCGCTCTGCGGCATGTGTTTTCTTCGGAGGTCAAGCTTTGACAATATCCATAGACCAGGGGCACCAATCCCCAAAAAACGAAACAGTTTGGGTCTGGGCAGCATGTGCCTTTGGACCGCGACTCAAAACGTAGCATGCGAAACCACTGTGCAACATTCTAGAAAGGATCCAAAGGAAAAAGCACAAAGAAAAACGAAACCGAGGGCAAAGCTCCCCACGCTTGCCAATGTTTTAAAAACATGGTGGCACGGAAATGACCGTGCGCAGGGTGCTCCTTTTGCTGTTGAAAATGCGTACCAACGCAGGGCGAAATGCAAATTCCGTACAAACACGGCAGGCGGAAAACGGCCTGGCGGGGATGTTTGTGTGTTTGTGTAATTGAGTGTCTGTGTGCTTACCTGCGTGTTTGTGTGATTGAATGTTTACGTGTTGCGTGTTTGTGGTTTGTGCGCTTGTGCGTTTGTGGAGTTGGGTGTTTGTTTGTTTGTTTGTTTGTTTGGTTGGTTGTTTGTTTGTTTGGTTGTTTGTTTGTTTGTTTGTTTGTTTGTTTGCTTGTTTGTTTGTGGAGTTGGATGTTTGTTTGTTTGCTTGCTTGCTTGTTTGTTTGTTTGTTTATTTGTTTGACAAACGGGGGCCAAAGTGACACCAACACTTTGGGAGTAACTTTCCCTTCTGTACCCAGGCCATCCCTGTGCTATCACATTACCCGGGTGCGTTCTGTGTCCCGAACATAAGAAAAGGAACCTGCAAATCTGCCTCAAAGGTGAGTCATAATCAAAACCTGGTATTAAAATGGTCTACCCGCCACCATGTAAAGAATAAGGAAGACGGCCGCAGCTATTTGTGGTTGGGATTGTCTCTTACTAACCGGATCATCCAGGCGAATCGGATTTGATTTTGGCTCAGTGTTCGCCTCCAAAAGTGATAAATCCTCATGCACTACAACCAGGGACACCCCCATATTAATAAACAGGGGTTTATCAATCCGGGGTCAACATTAGTATTCACACGCCGACAAATCAGTTGTTGGGCCAAATGGGTGTCTTTTTTGGGGGCACCCAGTGTTTGGTTGTTGCGGTTTACAGAAAAACCAATCCTTTTGAGGGGGATCTAAAGAATACACCCCGAAACACTTTCAGGGATTGGCACCCGGGTAGCGGCGCAGGCCGTCCTATGAGCTTCCTTCTGCTTGGTTTCGTCTCTCCCTGCCCCCTTTGTGTTGAGTCCCCCTGTTGGAGGACTATGTTCTGCCTTTCCGGGCCCATCAGCTTATCAAACATTCCCAAACACCTGAAGTTCCATATGGGCCAGGACCCTTTTTGCGGCCTCATCCTCCATCTTCCTGGTCTCGATCTTCAGGTGGGAAGAGGATTCCAGCACGGCCAAAAGCGCCTGGCTTTTGGAAAAGCAACGAGTTCGGCCCTGGGTGGACATCCCAGGCGGTTACTGCTACCCATAGTTGGCCATGATTTCCCTAAGGGAACCAACGCACGAGTCGTCGGTGGACATGAATCCCACCTAGAAAAAATCCGGGGGCCCCGCACGCCCATTTACCAAGAGGCTACGTAACTCTTCTCACATCCCAACATGTATCCCTAGTCCAGGAATCAGAAAACTCGGGGTGTCTGGGTGTGCGTTTCTAGCCTGAAAGAAAGGAGAAGAAGGCCGAACGAAAGCTACCTTTAGCCGGCGCCTTCTTCGCCTCCTCGCGGGCCGCCTTGGACTTGTAGTACCTCGCCGAACACCCGGCTCGGAGCGTGTCAAAATGGGGCACCACGGTCGGCCCCAAAGCCAGAAATGTCGCTTCCTTTTGAGTTCGCTGAAAAAACAAACCTGCGAGAATCCCCGAAACATGTGCTGTTACCTTTCGTGTCTCCCCGTAAACCGGCCTAAAACGGGTACCCTCCAAAAGCACGAAGCCAGGTGATCCATCATGGAGGCTTCGGGTCCAGTTGGGTGTGCCTTTTCTTTGAGAATATGTAGTGGTTGCTTTTCAAAGGGCAACCAACAGGAACCTCACCATGTTGTTGTTCTTTCTTGTTGATTTTTGAATTTTTGGAGAGGGGCCCCTGAAAAACGACACAGCCATCTATGGTGTCCAGCCAAGGTACACCACTATTCTGGAATCAGGCGGTGAATCTTCGATCACTTTCTTGTGCTCGTTCTCGCTGATCCTCACAGCACGGCTCGCAAAGCTTGCTCGTTGCGGCTGCCAACCGGCCCAAAACTGACCCAACGACCCGCCGCACTGATATGTTTCACAAACAGCTTGCCTTGATTGAACCACTAAGAGCTTGCCGCTCATTAAAATGCCTTTCACAAGAAAAAGAGTCGAATGAGTGGAGAAGCGAGCGTCGTCACACTGCCAAGCCGACACGAAATGCCGCTCGCCGAGTGGCTGAACAAAAGGCACGAAGCCGGAGAGGACGCCCTTCTTGGCTGACTTGCCCTTGACCTGGGCAAGCCCCGGAAATGGCTACATTGTCACACACGCACGTATTTGACCCTGGGAATTCCACAGAAATGCCATGAGGTCCCAATCCGTCCAACGCCTTCCCAAGGGTCCAAGGATGCTTAGGTAAGTGCAACCCCTCGGTGGCAAAACTCGGCTGCCAAAGCCTGAAGCTATCTATTGAAGCTATTTGGTGACAAGGGACAACCATTCACTGCGTCAGTTGGTGTCGGAGCCCCCCCCCCCCCCCCCCAAAAAAAAAAAAAACGATAAAAAACAAAGGCCCCCCCCAAATAAAACATGCACCCATTCATGTGGGGAGGTAGCCCTAGACATTAGCTCCTTCGTGGACTCCTCCTGTCCATCTTCACGGCACATGGATGTGTCTCTAAGTGGGGGATCCTACAAATTAGTGGCTTGCCGTGATTCCCTTGAGGAAGGGCCCAAGAGGGTACTTTAGAAACATAGACAAAACCCCGATTCTTAAAATGGCGTGGCTTTATCCTTGCTGATGTAAACCTTGTTTCCATCAGGACGAATTTAGCACTTTATGTAGGGACTCATTTTGCGGCCACTCACCGCAAAATGGCAACCTTTAACCTCATTGGGTTCCCACGGGCCTTTCCTCTTGTTGGAGCCAACTTAGGCCCTCCCCAACCCCCATGTTCATTTGGAATCCTTGGGAAGCCGCACGGCCTTGTTTCCCTTTTACGCCATCCAAAGAACAGGGCCAAGAGGAAGGCCACCAGAAAACTACGGGCGAGAGGCAAATCCAAACTCAAGCCATCACCAAAATGACGACCAACAGCTTAACGATTTGAATGTTAGGATTTTGACTAACCTTGCGAAGCGAAGTACCTTGACTTGTCCACCTAATCTCTTCCCCCAATTAATGAATGACCCCAATTAATAATAAATGCAAATCCGGGGCCCGGGACCAGATTTCCACTCCACACAATTGATTTTCCATTGCGCCAATACTAAACCAATACTAACGTCTTGGAATCCTTATTAGGGGGCACTTTTGGCAAGCTTCCAGCCTCACTTTTCAACAGGTGGGTTCCTCAATTCCCCAAAAGGTTGCTTTCCCAAAAGCTGGCTTAGTGTAAACAAATAGAATGATACATCAAATTTCCTTATTGAACCGCTTACTCGCGGACCTTACAATTCAAGCCATTTCATCCAAATCCTACGTGAACCCTCACATTGTTGGAAAAGCAAAAAAAACCAACCCCAAAAACCCCAATTAAATATAACATATATATATATATATATATTTGGGGGGATTTATTTATAATAGGGGGGGGGGCCGTATTTATTAATAGGGGGAAGAGATTACGTAAATGTCAGGTCGTCAACTATCATTTGCGCTTGCGGGGTGTGTATGTGCATGTGCTGGCATGTTGTTGCACATCCTCCCACACAGGCCTTTTGACTCTTGTGCAGCAAAATGAAGGAAGGCAAAGACACAGCTTTTGGTAGGCTCTTTGTGGGACGTCCCTTCATCTTCAGCCGACATGTGGCGCAACCCGCGCGGCAAGCAATCCCTTCCTTCTGCCAGGGTGCGTTGAGCCCTTTGCCGACTGCGGCGCCCGACAGCATTTTGGCAATGGCGTCCTGCGTGGCGAGCGGCGCACGGAGGTGGGAGGCGCGGAATTTGCACGCAAGCGTTTGGCCGCGTCCCTTGTTGAAAGTTTGAGGTTACCCACTCCCGAGTCGGTCGAACGGGAAAATCCCAGGACAACAGTCCATTTTGGGAGGGCTCCCCTGTTTTGAGACAAGCGACCAACTTGTCGCCCTTCTGAAAATAACGGGGCCGAGTCCCCAGACTTCTGAGCCCAGAAAAGGTGCAAAAGGCGAAACCAACAGCGCCCACTCCTTGCTGGTCGGCCGGTAGATTGCGAACCACTTCGTCTCGTCTCCTCAGAGGGTCGTGGTTACGGCAAGCACGAGTCGTGGTTACGGCAAGCACGGGGCCCTGTTCAAATGAAGGGGACCCCTCCCTAGCACCAAGCAAAAAGGGGATTTCGCGTGAGACCGTTTTCAGAGATGCCCAACCAGCTATAAAACAAAATCATAATTGTTGGGGGTCCCCAAGTAGAAACATTGCGCTGCGCTTTTTGCTGGCATAGCTTGCCTCCACTGCAGATCATGACCGAAACGCAAGTCCCATGAACAAAAGGAACAACAACCAGGGAACATGAAATTCAGCCCCTCCTCCCAACACAAGAAAACCAACCTGGTAGGGCAAGCCCTGTCCTCTCCGGTCTTCGGTCGGCGTCCCATGTCTCTGTAACAGGGATTGGCAGAATATGCAGCCCAATTCCAGGCCTCCAGTTCGGGAAACAGATAGGTGGGGAAAACCAACATGGAACCAGCTGTTTTCACAGGGTCCCAGCTTTGACGTTGCGACAGGCGCAACGCTACACTCTTTCTCATAGCAACCTCCAAGGAGAGTCAGATGAAGCGGGCCCCTCGGATGGCTTTAGGGGAGTCAAGAAGGAAAGCAACGATGCTTGCTCACAACAAGCTGAAGCAGTCAGACATCAAACATTGCATCTTGTCGTCAGGGCAAGCGGCAAGATTGCGCAACCCACTGAAGAAGGATAGAACGCTTCCATCGATCCATCCTTGTATGACTCTATCCATCTATTGTGTTCGTCTATCTCTGTATTGACCTACCTATCTACCTGTCGATCTATGTATCCACCTAGCTGCATATGGCTGTGGGTCAAAAATAGGTACCCCAAATGGAACCCTGGTAAATGGAAACATGGACTAAACCCTGTGGTCCCTTGGTGGTTTAATTTGACCCATACCCATATGTACATAACTTGGTTTGACGTTGGAAGGGGAGCAAAAACTTGAATTTTGGCAGTTAAGTGGGGATTTCCCACCAAACCACAATGAGCAAAAATGCAATAAATGTTTCCCAACAGCAACCATGCTAACTCCATTGCGTCAACGCCCAGCCCCATCCCCGCAATCGGCAAAGCGGCCATGCTTGCCCTCCATCTTGTGCCGCAGCAGTGAGCCCGCGGGCCCTCGCGCGTCGCCCTCCTGGCGACAGCCACGGAGCTTTCGGCGGCCGTCGGCCGTATGCGCCCCAGACGTTTGCACATGGGGTTCGAAAGGCACAACCGAAGGCTCCAAGCAACCGAAGGCATCTGTGCGGATTTGGACATTTGCACTTGACAATCTTCTTTGCCAAAAGGTGAATTCTAAATATGGAACAGTACTTGTCCTACCTTCCGGAATTGGCCCCTGCAAACCGATACACTCAGTGACTCAGGCAAAAATCCCCCTACCAACGTTGCCAGTGACCATGTCAAAACCACTCCGGAGACAAACAAACAAAACAAAACATCCACACAATGCCTCGGTTGCTTTCTGCTCCCCTGCTAAAAGTTTAACTTTTAGTGGTTTAATAGCAAACCTATTAGTTGGCAAAAAGTTAAAGTCCTAACATCCAAGCAACATGCACCAAAGATACCCTTCGCCCCACAAACATGGAACCAGAAAAAGGTCGCCTTTGGGTTCCATGTTGACACGTGTGGGTACAAGCTCGCCCAAATCGGATGGGAGCAAACGTCAACACTGCAGCTACTGCGTGACATGAGCACATCTCAGGGTTCAAGTTCATCCCAGGTGTACACACCCTCCAGGCATAGTGGAACATAAGAACAAGGTATATTTCATTTAAGTTTGTTTGCGCGTACAGGTTGGAAAGTTGGATATGCATGCATCAGTCTTCAGACATTGTTGTTCACATCCAGGAAGGTGTGTCAATAAATATATACTTTCTTATCTACATAGGTCGGGGTCGCGATATGTCCCCGGCCAACATTGCACCATTTGAGAGAAACCCTTTCGAATGACCGGTGCAATGCTTAATCTTTCCAAATCCTCCAATTGCTTAAGACCGCTGGAAGAAAAAAAACAGCAGCGATAGATTTCCTTCAAAACCAACAAGGAAAAATAAGAAACCTTCTTGAGCAAATGGAAGACATGTGGGTGGGGGGGTTTTGACCTCCACTTGGACCCCTCAAAAGGAGGCACACACTTCGTATAGGGCCGAACCCCCCCCAAAAAAAAACGGTGTGGATTTATTGCCTTGGCCAATGGGCAAGACGGCAAAGCATCGTGCCTGGTAGAAGTCGGCAATAAGCTTCCGCGGGTCCGTGAGGTATTGCTGCCTCAGACCCGCAAATCCGGCCGGATTCCGCACTCGGGGGATGCAGCAGGTGCGCTTGTCAACCTTTGGATAACCACCCTTGTAAGTGGGGTTGCTAACCGCTTGCCACTCCCCATGTAGGTCTTGAGGTTTGTGAGGGGAAAAATACGACGCAAGCCCATTTCGACAGGGAACCAACTCAACCGGGAACCATCTGCCAAAGCCAGGGAAAGCTGCGGCGCCGCCACGAATTGCTAGGCGTGTGGCAACTTAAGGGTGGGTTGTACAGAAGGATCCCCAATCCCAATCCGCCCTTCGCAGTAAAAAACGGCAAGTGAAACCGCTAATGTTGACCCAGGATTCATAAACCCGTCAAATTGTTACGGGGGCGTTCCCTCGAAAAGTGGTCTGAATCCAACCACTAAAAGGGGACACCCCCCCAATCAAAATCAACCAGGGGTTCTACTTAGATCCATCTGGCAAAATTTGTTCCTCTGGTTGCATCCTGTTCGTTTAGCTCGCTTTCTTTCCCAAATGAGAGCTGGCGTTGTGGGCGGCAACATGGAAACACGGAGGCTTGAATAGATCTTAGCTTGCGAAGCTCCCGGCCAACCCGGCACTTCGATCTGACGACGGGAAAAAGAAAGCCCCGGATTGATCATTTAATGGATTATTTGGGGGATTGGGGTGATGGTGTCCCCCCCCCCCAAAAAAAAAAAAAAAAAAAAGAAACAGAAAAAAGTGAAGAATCCCGTCTGATGGGAGGCCTCCGTAATCAAGAGAGAGTTGAGATTCATCCAGGCTTATTTAGAATGGCCAGGGGCTACCCACCAGAAGGAAAACCGAGGTTGCCCGAAGATTCGAGAGACCCGCGGGATAGCTACAGGCACCAGGAAGCGCTGACTTGTGTGCGTGTGTGGCGCGGGAAGGCCATGGGCATCCCACAACGTATGTGTTAAATCCTTGTTGGGCTTCAGGGGGCCATTCAACATGTTGGGTTGACGGGACGCAAAAAGTGACTAAAGTCCATGAACTCAGGGAGTAAGTCTTGTGCATCAACCTGCAAATTGGGAAGTCTACAGAAATGGCCTTGGCCAATTCAGCCCAAGCAATGCCAACAGGGTCAAAAATATGGACCCCGCATGACGGGAGGGGCTTGCCCGGACTTTCATGCTGCCCCGCGCATGCCGATCCTCAGCGTGCTCGCGGCTGTCGAGGGGGGGGGAAGGGGGGGGGAAGGGGGGGGGATGGAAAGAACACGGGTCCATGTTTCCAGTCTGTGTTTCAACTTAGTCGATCCCGACTCCCCAGCCACACGCCATGTGACTTTTCCGCTATCTGCGCGCTGCGCAGTCCCTTTAGCTTATCTGACACGCTGCCACTTTGCCGCAGGTGGTTCAATTTAGACACCTGGTGTCTAAGAGGGCTTGGGGTCTTCTGGTGTTGGAACGAGCTACCTTCCCGAATGCTGGTCTTTGTCTCCGCTGCGCTCTCAGTACCGAGCAGGAACGGAAGTTCTGCCAGCAAGCTATCAGCGCAGCTCATGACTTGTCCGCTTCGCATGTTCAAGGCAGCCCGGCCTGGACAGCTGCATGAAAGTGTTGGTGGCATTCTGAAGGTCTCTCACAAAGAGAGTCAAGCCACAGTCCTGGAGCTTGCTTCGAGCAAATGAGAACGCTGCGCCTGCCAGCACCGCGTATTCGAATCTCAGATTCGAATACGCGAAGTTGGACATTGGCAGACTTTCCTGTGATCCCACCGAAGCCACGAGTCACTGCTATTCGCATAGGATTTGCACAACTCCCAACCCCACGTCCAAGAGTGACCGCCATTCGGTCCGGGCAAACCCCCCCCCGGCAACCCAACATGTTGTTTGGTCAGACTCAGGGGCGTTCCACTACCCCAAACCACAAGGTCAAGCGGAGTATGCAATCACCACGTCGCCTTGAAAGGGCCATCATATATACATGTGTACTTGTGTGTGTGTGTGTGCGTATGTATGCATCCAGGCATGCATGCACGCATGCCCGTCTGCATGTACATGCACATGTACATGTACATGGATACGTATTCCATGTACATGTATGTGCATCCCACGTTCTCCAGCGACGGTCTGGCAAAGCTGTGGACGTGAGGCCCTCCCCACGTTGGCCAAAGCACTGCTGCAGGTCGTCCATGGAGCCCAAGAGGCGCTCGAACTTGCCACGGCTCAGGACCAGCACTTCCACCTGGATCAAAGCTCAGCCTTTCCTCCATGGGGTTTCAGCAAACTGCGCAAGAGGATCTACCCTCCCGCCAATAACATGGAAGCTGACACGGGCTGTCAGGTTCCATGTTAAGTGAGGCTGGAAACCCACCTGAAAAAGGGGACCGACAAATCCCCTAGTTCCACGGATCTGCGCACAAAGCACACCCTGCGAGGCCTCGCAGGTGATAATCCTGGTAGTTGCGGTTACTTGGGGATATTTGAGGTTGGTGGAAAGGAACGCAATGAATGTGCCGGTCCGGGCCCCTCTGATTCCCTGGCTCTCCGGGAATTTTGCTTTTGCCAGCACCTAAGCAAGTCTGACCTTGTGGTGCTCAACATCCACAGCTTGGCGTCGAAATGAAGAAGAAACCACACTGGTTCACCTTTGCACGTCGTGGGGTTGGCTCTTTGATGTCTTGCACCCGGAGAAAGAAGAGCCCAAGAGATTTGAAAGTTACATCTACAAGTCATTCGCTACGGACCCAGGCCCAAGTGAAAGGTGCAGCCATTAAATCAGTTGCCTTGCGTTTTGTTGCGCACATGAACCGCTCGTCGGTTTTTTGGACCTAGAAACCGCCCGACTGCTCCCAAGGGATCTCTCCCTCCAGGGCCTCGGTCACCGCGGTCACCGAGGCGGCGCGGGGCTCGTTCTTCAGGAGGGCGCGCTCCCCGAAGAGGTTGCCAGCATGCAGGCGCACCTGGGCAAACATCATACCCCAGGGGGTTCGGGGTCCGGGACCCAATTCCATTGACCCAGTCTTCCCGAAAAAGGAAAATGGGTTGCCATGAATGGAATTCTGGGGGTCGAAATCCCCCCCAATTCCATTTTTAGGAACGTGGGGATTGGTTCTCAGAAGGGGATGAGAAGCTTCGGGCGTGCAATTCGAATTCCTTCGTCAGGAGACCGGTTCATTCCCCCCTGTCTTGCTGAGACCTCGCAGTGCCCTACCATGGAAAAATACAAAAACAACTACAGAGAGTCTGGGCTAGGTAGCCTAGATTGTATAACTAGGGGCCATGGTCAAAACTGACACAGCTGTTGCGCCCCAACCAGATGACATTTTGGATTGTGGGCCTGTTTTGCTAACCCTGAAATGTAAAGCAACTTGAACAGGGATCCCAATGATTCCTTACACGGCCCATGTCCATTGTTGTTGTTTCAGTGTTTGCATGTTTTACGCAGCAAAGAACAAAGTGTTATGCCGCTGAAAGGATTCCATTTGAACTATGCCAATCCCCACAAGGTGGAAGAAGCGAGCCCAACAGTCTAGGGTCAAACAAAATGCGATTTCACGCATGGGAAAGGTCCCAAATCTCAGAAAGCGGCCCTACTGTGGATGGACGAAATCCTGCACCACTTGGAAACCATGTGAAACAATGGTTGGCTGGTATTTACAGGGGAATCGAATCATTCCAGGGTTTCTGAACGGTGGTGCGAAATGGATTTCGTCAGTTTCAATGTGACTTTCCCACAGTCAGAAATCAGGGTCTCCCAAGGAGCCATTCATCGCTAAGTCCTTGGGCCGCATCGGTCCCACTTTGCGGTGGGCTGGTTGGAACCTTGAGCAAAAGGTTACCAAAACCAAGAGGTCAAAATTCAGGCCGCTGAGCAGGCGGAAGCATTTGCAGGAAGGTTCTGAAACAAGAGTTCTTCGCTGCAAAGCCGTGGACATTTGCCTGAATCAAGGGCCAAGCATACATCCCGCAAATGGACATACCCCTCAAAAAGGACATGGGCTATCCAGGGGCTGTTCAGGATGCACCCCCCCTCCGCCCCCAAAGAAATCACAGTGGAATTGGCGCGGGTCCTTCTGAACATAGGTGTCCTTCTGGAAAAATGGATGGCACTGGCAAATGATTAGAACCAAAGAAAACAAATCGCCATCTAATTTCAAACAAACTAACCTATAGTGACGGACTTCAAGTTAGAACATCTAACCTATAGTACCCTATAGTGACTACTTGGATTCACCAGATGATGTTCTAACTTGGAGTCTGTCAATAAGGACGCCCATGCTTCTGCGCCGTGGCGCGTACTCCTGCTCATCATCGCCACTCTTGACCCACACCCGAGCTGTGCCAGAGGTGATGAGGTAGAACTCCGCACCTGAACTGCCAAACAGCCACCCGCAAAGAAGGACCTGTGATCTTGACTGCTGTCGGGTTGGATCTTGAGACTTTAACTTTTGGGGGGGGAAATAAAGGTGTTCTCCACTAAGCCCCCAAAAGCTTTTTTTTTTTGGTTTGCAGGGGGTCAACAGCAACCAAGTTATAGTTATCAAGAGTTTGTCCTCGCGATGGAATCCAAAGCTAAGACTAGCCAGTTGCAGCTAGCCAGCTACGGAACTTACGCAGAGGCGTTCTACGTTCCAAGAACCCTCCAACATATCTTTTGGAGCATACGCCAACCCTCCCATGATAATTGCTTTCAATTGGGGTCCCGGCATATGATCAAAAGATATGTTGGAGGGTTCTTGGACGCATTCCCGCCTTGCTCGCCCTGCACCACGATGTCTGCACCCGGCTTGTACCTTCACAGGCGCAGCACTTGCGAAGCCAAATCCGAATGCGCGTCCCGCGAAACAACCCGTGTTTTTGCTGCAGATCCCAAGGATTGATAAGATGCCTCAAATTTCGCCTAGGCATCCTAGACGTTCAACACCCTTCCTTTCCGGATAGCACCTGGGCCCCTTCACCTTGATCCAACTGACGTTCACTTTGAACCAATACAGCGGCCAAACCATGCAGGCCCCCAGGCTCTGCAACCGTCTGAAAAATGGCTGAATCGGCTGCCCCAGCGCCCCTTTTCGGGTAGCTCCTCATGGCTGCATCCCTTACATGAGCAACAAAATACGATGGCAAGGAGTGAAGGTCCTGCTTTGGTTGCTGTTGGACCCTCTGCAAAAAGTTGAACTGTTTGTGGGCTCGATGGAAAACCAATAATTTCCAAAAAAGTTACAGTCTAAAGACCCAACCCAATAGCAATCAAGCCTTCCTCCCGTAGGAAGATCGGTTTCTAGCCGACCGTCAGGCTCCATGTGCGTCAGAACCAAAAAAATCCCACTAAACCAAAAGATCCAAAGGTGATCAGAAGGTGGATCGATATGGGGTGGCTGGGATGGGTAAGCCCTTTCGGGATGTAAAACACGGATCCGGAGAAAACCCAGGGCTCTTGTCAAACAGTGCCGTTATTTCCAGCAACCACTGGAAACACAAGGCACATGGACAGCACTTCCGCGTGTCCAAAAGTTGGAAAGGAGCCCTTTTCGGTTTGTGCCCAGGAAGCCAGCAGAAAACAAACAAAGCCCGCCCCAAAACAACCCAACCACCGGTTTACACGTGCATGATCCACCTAAGCAATATGAACACTGTTGGAATGAACAATCAGGAGAACAACATGGGTGTGTGCCAAGCAGCGTTCAGTAAAAACAATACATCCAGCTCGCTTGTCTGCAGCATTCCTCCCAAACTCTCCCAGGCTTCGGGAATGAATGGGGATTTCCCCAATGGCGTTCAATCCATTTCGAAAATTCCCGAACCAGCAAAGATCTTCGCAGGTTTTGCCCTTTCTCAGTTGTCAGTGACCCTGGGAGACAAAAAAGAGGGAGAACACCCTTTTTGGAGAAGACCGGATGTTTAGTGCTCGAAAAAAAACACCGGGAAGATGGAACAATAACAAGGAACTTGGCGCCACTGAGCTGAGCTGTGGAAAACCCGCGGACGAAGGACCGCGCCTGCGGAGGTTGAAGGCGTCACACAGCTTCTCCAAAGCCTCGAGGCTCCGGGCCGAGGGGATCCATCGAGGTGCATCGACCGCTCGGCGGTGTGCCGTTTTTGGGCGCAGGGCGGGAAACCAAGGTCCAAATCCAAGGGAAATCCAAGGGAACAAGGGAAATCCAAGGGAAATCCAAGGTCCGAATCCTGGAGCCCTGGCTTTTCAAAAGTGTTTGCTGGGTTCTGGCACCCGAAAAAGCACCAGGATCGCGCCTTGCCTCCCATTTTGGCGTCATTCGAAGTGAGCGTCCTTTTGTTGAATCTAGTTGGACCCTTGGTGGCTGATCTAGCGTTCTACCTGAGAATCTCCCCCACAAATTAAGAGCCCAGACATGCAGAGAGGCACCCAAAGGAGTCTTCTCTGAGAACGAAATTGCTCCGAAGATTTCTCTAAACGTGATGCGCTTTTGGCAGCCACAGTATATTTAGCAGTTTTCATCAGGGGGAGGTTTTCTTGAATTCCACGTCGCTTTTTCTGGTTCTCGGTCGGGAACTTCCAGTTTCGGGGATGAACTCCTGGGGATCGTACTTGGAACCCACAAGGGTTGGTAGGGGACATTCCCTCAGCTGGAAAAGCTCAAAACAGAAGTACTTGGCTCCAGTAGGAAGGTCAAGGATCTTGACAGAATCCACTGGAACCAGCAGGTAAGTCTATCAATGACCTGCTGGTTCTAGAAAGGTGGGCAAGCCCAACAACCTGCCAAGACAAAATCACAGCTGCAAGCGAAACTGTGCAATCCTTGCTTCCAACCCTTTCGGCACTGAGAATGCCCCAAGAGTCCTTTCTGAGCTGAGCCACGGTCAACAGGCTGTGCTTCTTTTTCTTTTTTTTTGTTGAGGCTATCTGTTTTGTTGGTTGGTTTGGACGGAAGGGAAAGGTAAAACCGAAGCCATTTTGGGGGTCCCCTTACGCCCATCAGGTGTTACCCTCAAGGTCTTGTGAGTAAGGGTTCGTCAGAAGTGCAACTAAGGGCGAGGGCTTTGTGGGGATGCGACATTTTCTGGTCCAAAAACATGAGGCTAACCCTGCAGAGAACATGAGGCTGTTCGCCACCCGCCCAGCGCCATTCGACCTGTTGAAGGCTTTGCGGATCGAGAAACCTACTCCCAGCGAACAAGCGCCACGCACTTTGGCACATGCCGCGGTTAGAAAAGAAATCCATCCCCCGCCTCGTCCTCCATCATCTCAAGCCTTGGCCAGGAAGGGAGGTGCACTGCTGGGGTCCCACCGGTGGGAATGGCCTTTTGGATCAATGGGTCAGCTCCGAGCTCCCGGCATCTTGGAGCTCTTCAGCATGTACTTGTACCTCGGTCGCACAACAGGGGGAACCTTCTGGGATACAACAAAATGGGCTTCCGAAAGACTAACCCCCATATAAAGGGGGAGAGTCCCTTGTAGAAGTGGGGATAAACCACTTAATCCCACAACCCTGCACAGAAACAAACACAGGGGACCAAAGAGAAAAGAGGAAGCAACAGTCCGTCGCAAGAACCACCTGCCTGATGGCCCTGCGGTTGTTTAAGACGCCTGTTATTATTGGTGGATTTCTTAAAAAACTGCCACCTCTCCAGGTGGACCCGCAGAGTCTGGAGTTTGAAGCGTATGGATGGACGGCCCCTAAGACTTGCATTCCCCACCCGACGGCCAAGAAACTGAAGTTCCTAACCGACTTTGGCTATGGCCACGATGCGGTTCGAAATTATGGTCTGGGAAACTGGTCCTATGCTACGCACACGCCCGTGTGATGCACGGGACCCATTCTTTGGGAACCCGAGGGTTCCTTCACTTTTAGCTCCCTTAGCTGAAAGCAAAGGTACCTATGGTACCTCTCAATCTGTGCCCCTCCTGAGTGGATTGGACAGCAAAGTCCAGAAATATGTTGTTTGCCACCAGGTGTCTTCCCCCAAAAGCTTAAAGTCCAGGAACTCAGGAAAACGTGTAGAAGCTTCCTCACTTTTTTGGGCCGGCTGCAAGTCCATCCGGGTGATTGGCAGGATCCGAAGCCACAGACCGAACATTTGGGGTGGCTCGTCTTTGTTGGAGTTGCGCAATTAAAGCGAACCCACAAGGAAACCAACCATTTTCGGGGTCGCCCTATTTAAATATTTTGAGACAAACCCCTTTACACGGAGTCGCATCCTGCATGCACTTCTTGACAACCAGAACCTTATGCGTTGGTAGGTTGATTTCTAAAGCACTGCCTGCCTTTTTGTCCACTGCCTACGGCTATGGCCTACACAGGCCCCATGAAAACCTTCGGACACATCTGCCTGTGGCCAAAAATCGTCCATGTTATCTCCGGGATTTGCTTGCCCAAGAAACTTTATTTGGCCAAAAATCGACCATTTTACGTCAGGGATGTGCTTCCCCTGGAAAATGTATTTCCCACTGCTTGACGAATGCAAAGCCAACAGCCGAAGCCCATGCCTTTTCTCGCCTGACAAGCCAAGTGGCCTGGACCGGGCACGGAAGGCCATACGAGTGCAGAGGGTCACCTCAACTCGTCCAACGGAACCAAAACGAGAGGCGAGACTCAGAGCCTTTTTATCGCCGACCGAAACTAGCGAAACTTGTTCTCCCCAGAGAAGGAGGCTTCCACCATACCGAGAGAAAAAGAACAAAAAGAAGAAAAAACACGCAGAACCCAAGCTCACGACAAGCGGGCCAACACAAGCCACAAAAGCCCGTAGAAGGATAATCCCCGATGTGGGTGTAGGGGCTGAAAGACACATCCATATTTTGTAGTTCTCAACGGCTGGGATTTGATGCAGGCTTTCCTGGTTTCCTACAAAGGCCTCAAGAAGGTGCCTCAAAAAGTTGCCTCAAGTTAGGGCCTCCGAATGTGTTCGGAGGGGAGCGAGCCATTTTTGGGGCACCTTCTGTTTGAGCGAGGCTGGAATCTGATTGAACCTGATGCGTAGGAACCTCCTACCAGGCTCTCTCCCGCGCGAAGGTGAACCTGACAAAGGGAGAAAGACTCGGCCGAACGGCTCGGAGCTCCAGAACCTTCCCTCCAACCATGGAGGCTGAGAGGGTTCTGGCAGACGACTTTCTGTGTGGAAAACCCCCTTTTCGGCCACTTCCATGGGTGTCGGAAAGAGAGGCGAATCAATACACACCTGCTGAGTGTCTTATGATCGCAAATAAGGCAATTTGGTTTGGACCTGTCACATGAATTCCTCAAACCTTGAGTGGATCGACCACAAGTCTGAAGTTTGCTTCTCGAAAGAACAATTGTCCCAACAAACAGTGAAAGAGTGATTCGAATTATCCACGCCCATGTAGTAGCGCAATTTCCTTGAAAACCCTCGCTTTCTTGTGCAGTGACCTCTGGCTTAGATACATCCCAGCGACGTATTCGCTGTGGGTCAGCTTGGCCACAATGCACTCCCCTTCAGCCTGGATCGCTGCGAACCGCGCGGGGCCAGCTGTCGGGGCCGTATGGTCGGGGGCCAGTGATACCTAGAGATCCCTGCGAACCAGATGGACCCAACAGGCCCGATTTGAATCGAGTCCACCATTTCTCTCCTGAACTGTTCAGTTTGCCACAACTGAGGGGCAGAGGCGGACTTGAACTTCCGGCGACAATGCGCCGTGCCAACCCTCAAAGCTTGTGTATTGCCAAGGTGGGCCATCCTTGGGACAACTTTTGTGACTGGTATTCCAGACAAGTTGCCAACAGCTTGCTTTGCCCAGAACCAAGTGAATCCCGCTAAATTGGCAACTGGCTTCAAGGCCTCAGCTACCCAGCGGGACGCCTTCCTATTGCCAAACATTTGTGCATGCCACACGCGCCATGGCAAAGACTGCTTGGTCATGGCTCCTTGGTTTGGACCCCTGAAATGGTGATCTTTAGTCACTTTGAGGGGTTGGTGCCCACCCCCCTGACTCCAAGTTAAAGGTCTGTCGTCCGATGGCGGGAACCTTTCAGGTGTCCCTTTGCCGGGGTTGAGAATCTGACAGCTGGGACGTCGGTTGAAGCTTTGGCCTCTGCCTCATTCATTCCATGATGCTGACCCGGAAACAAAACAAACATGGTTGATTCGGAGGGCCATGCCTCCTTTTCAGACTTTGGAATTAATTTGAAGGGCCAAACTAATATATTCGAGAAATCTTTTCCCCTTAACTCAATTGATCCCCTGGCACATCTAGCCTTTCGAGACTGCATATTGTTCGCAGCAAATATGCAGCCTGAGAAATAACATCTTGAAGTTGTCCGACGCTGCATGTTTGTGCAGAAATCACTCAAGCCAAGAGCAAACCATCGGGTGTCAACGGACATTTTGCGGGGCCGGCACTCCCCGACTAATCGAACAAAATCCCGGGCCGCCTTCATCAAATACCTCCGGGGGTAAGCGAAGAGCACGGCAACCTGCGCGATTTCCGGAATTCGGGAATTCGCCCTACGACAGAAACCACCCTCAGCCAAACGGAACCCCACTTTGAATTGGCAACCAAAGCGTGACTTTCTGAACAAGACTCTTTGAAACAAGATATAAGGTGTAAAAAGGTTGCTCCCAAGACCTTGGGAACAGGGCCGAACCAAGTTTCTATGGCTTGGTTTCTTCTATTACCCTGGTGTTTTTGGAACTGTTCGGAGCAACCCCGAACAAGTTGAACCAGAGCTGTGCCGTCTATACTGGGACAAATCTTTTGAGGCACTGGCTGCCTCCTGTCTCCCAAAGGACTCAGAAACAAACGGTAGCCTTTTGGAGCGCACTGATTTCGCGACTAAAAAGTACACCAAGGCTGGTGATATCAGCCTTCGGGATGTGTTTGCAGGTGGCTGGGTGTGTGCGTGGGAGTTTTGCATGATGGCTGGGGCGATGGGGTCAGTTGAGGCACAAGGCACATTTGCACCTGACGCCCTTTCAATTTCCGATCAATCAAACTCTTGGGTTTCTCGGGACAAAGAATCCCCTCAAAAAGGCCCTCTGGTAGGTTACATGGATTCATCCACCTCAGCTTTGCACAAAACATGAGGTGATTTATCCTTGGTCCATCGCGCACCTTACATTGCAAAACAGTGTCCAACAAGGTCCCCAAGAACCTCATGGTCCACCACCCCAATACAAGCCACCGCCATTGCCATAGCAAACGGGTCATGCGACATCCATACAGCACCAATCCTGACACAGACTTTCTGGAGCAAATCGGGCTTTTCCAAAACCAGTGTTCTGAGTCTGGGCCATTTCAGATTTCCTCTAATTGGTGGTTGGGATTGGTGGTTTCGCGTTTGGGGATGGTTCCCCATTTGCCCTCTAGAAGAGCCAGAGGTTCAAATCCAAACCACCAAATCCAAACCGCCAAGGGCTTGCGACCCCAAAGGGACGTGAAAGAGGCCAAACACCTGGGATACCCTGTACAAATTGCTGCCGTTGCGTGAAGCTGCTGACAGGTTTAAGGGAACCCTGCTAACTCTGATCCCCCTCACAACCGTCAAAATGACCCCAGATTCAGTCTACCTTATATGGTTCCTGAAAATAAGGGGACCCCTTTTGGATGGTTGACTGGGTCCTCCAGTAGAGAGTTAGAATAAGGGTACCAACTGTTTATTTATTTTTCTACTTTAGTAGGGGAACCCTCCCCCAAAAAGGGAAACTGGGCACTACCGCCGTTTCGCCGGGACAAATCGACGTTTGGCTTCGAAATATGATGCTGATTAGGGACATCGAAAAATGTCCTTTTTGCTGCCAATACTCCCCGTTTCGGCAACCGTGACCAAAAGTGCCGCTTCGCCTGAAAACCTGGTTTTTGCAGAAAGATCTAAGATTTGTACCCTTCAGGGTGGTCCAGGTATGAGTGCCTCACCCCCCCCACCCCCGCAACACAAGCGAAGAAAAACAATGTGGGTTTCCTTTTGGTGCCTTCAAGCCACCATCAACGGCCCGTAATTACCATGTCCCTCGAGAACTC